GTGAATGGTGTATCTGTCTACGCTAGCTTTGACTTGACCGCACGATCTGATCTGATCTGATCTGAAATTCTGAACTGAGAAGGGATCGAAAAAACAGAGGAAACATATATCCAAAAGGGATTCTTGACTGACTCACCGATGGTTGAGAGCTTGTGTTCCTCCACCCAGGACTGCAGCGACGAGCTCATCCTGTCTTCCTCCCTCGAAACGGGTCTGCTGATGATGGGTGCCGAAATCGGAGGCTGCTGTGTTTGGATTTGGTGGATGCGTGCTTGATTGCAGCGATGGATGGATGGATTGCAGGAAGCAGGTGGCCTACTTATATAGGCTTATGGCTGACGAGAGTGGAGTGTGTGTGTGTGTGTGTGTGTTGAAGCACCCTGCCTGCAGCGTGCCATGGAAATGGAAAAGGGGGGAAAACGGGCGGAGACGACGAAACCAGAGGCACCCCCGCCTTCTGTTTCTGCCTGACTACATCTCCTCCCCCTGGTTTCCGAGCTTCTTGTGGGCAGGACACTCGGTTGGCACGTCGTATCGCACCCAAGGTTTTTCGTTCAGTCAGTCAGTTCAGGCACGGGCCCACCTTATCTCCTTCCAGCTTCCAGCCTGCCTGCCAATTAAAATATTCTTGTTTTCCGAGTGCGAGACGATGACAAGTGTCCAGCCTCAGAAAAATTCAAAAATATATGTTCTTTTTTTTTGTTGGTCTTTGGAGAGTTTTTAACGTCCGCGTCATGCGTGCTCCCCCAAACACGGGACGGGACACCGACGGAGAAGTCAGAACATAAACAACGACACCGGCCTGCTAAGGGCGTGTTTAGATGCAAAAATTTTTAGGTTTTGGCTACTGTAGCACTGTCGTTTGTATTTGACAATTAGTGTTTAATTATGGACTAATTATGTTCGAAAGTTTCGTTTCGCGATTTCTCACTCAACTATGTAATCAGTTTTTTTTTTTTTTTTGTCTATATTTAAAACTCCATGCATGTGTCGATGTGATGGATAGTGCGTAAAATTTTTTAAGAACTAAACAGGCCCTTAGCCTAATAGGCATCGAAGCCCAAAACCCGCTAGTGTTACTGTGTTGGGCTAGAGGCCCATCTCTTCAATCCGCAAAGTGAAGCCCAACTCACTGACACAACACCCTTGCACTTATCGCTACGATAAAGCCCAACTCACTGATCAGGGAGGGAGGAGAAGGACACCACTGGCCGCACCTGCACCTGCACGTTGGGACTGGGCTGCTGCCACTTCGGCCTTCTGATAGTCTCTTGTTCCGCGCGCCCTGCCTGGTGCTCTCCTTCCGCTCACGCTAGTTGATTGATGGCTTCATCGTCATGAGTCGTGCTTGCCTAATTGGTAAGACGTCTCCAACAACCACGACCCAAAATACAAGATCTATTCGTCCTTTGATTAGCACTACGAGTAAAAAGTGATTGCTATTAGTCCTACACGAGCAACTCGTGTGACTAGACCTACGCGAGAGTCACACGGGTTGCTCGTGTAGGTCTAGTGATGTGCAGTCAGTGGTTGCTATCTGTGTAGTATCTCTGCACGGTTGCTATCTGTGTAGTATCTCTGTAGGTCTAGTGGTGTGCAGTCAGTCACGGTTGCTATCTGTGTAGTATCTGTGTAGGCAGGCACGGTTGTGTATCTCTGCATGAACAGATTCTACAGCTGTACTCAGATGAGAGGTTTAAAAAAAACAGGAGGAAAAGTGATTTTGAATTTATACTACAGTAAAAGCTATTTTTTGGCAAAAGTAAATGTGGCTTTTAGTCATTTGGTTGAGCTTTTGACTTTTGGAGGCAAAAGCCATAGCCAAAAGTCCAACCAAACGAGACTTAAATTTATATAAAAAAGGTATCCACATTCATATATCAAATATATTTCGTATGAAAGCATACAACGTGATTAATATTCTAACTCTTATTTAGTATCATGAATATTTATATATTTAGTTAAATTTAAGATTGGTTTACTCATAAAAAACAAGGTGTGCATTTATTTTGTGCCAAGGCAATTACTTAATTTTACACTTTATATTGTCTTCACGGTTTAATAACCTGTGAAACATGTCACACGGGAGTAGAGGAGCAACTTTGGCTCTAAAATAGGACCTTAATTTGGGATTTAAACATACAGTATCTTTTATTTTTTAGGGTGTCATTTATTTCCTAGACTGAACTCCAACAATAACTCTCAAATCAAAGCCATGGGAAGTCACGTTGGGGAGAATGAGGCCGCACAAGAAAGGGTCAGGAGAAGCCGAGGAAAGCCATGTGGATGAGGAGGAGGTCGCACCATGGCAAATTGGCAATCGCGCACAAGGGAGAGGGACGTGCCGAGAAGGGTGCCCGCGTGGGGGATAGGAGTGCCCGAGGAAGGATGTAGCCACACGTGGGGAGGAGCGAGTTGTGTCGGTTTGTTTAAAAATGGCTAGTCACTAAAAACATTTTTTTAATTCCTGTCATATTTGAATTTTCCAATTACCCAAAAAAAATCACATGTCAATTCATTCTTACATACTATTTACAACATAACTTTACAGTTGCTTCTTAGTTTTGATGTCACTTGGCGGCAGCTATAGCAGTTGATGGTCACAATTGGATGTATCCACTCGCTTAGGGTTTCATAGCTTCAGAAACAACAGACAACTGGACTTGGTTCATGGAACAGTTAAAGAAGGATATAGATGATCCTTCACTCCTTGCTGTTTGTTCTGATGCTTGTAAGGGCTTGGAGAATGCAGTGAAGAATGTATTCCCAAATGCAGAGTAAAGAGAATGCTTTTATCAAGAAATGGAAAGGGAAAGAAAATGATCAGAGGACCTATGACTTGTAAAAAATACGGAAAAAAGGTCACAGGCAAGCTAGTGCCAAGTGCCCACTAAATGGGGCAGAAAAAAGAGGTAAGAATTGATTTTCTTTATCAAGAAACTTAAATGAAAATATCAATATTAATTTATTTGATTACTTGTAGGAAGCGTAGACAACCTAGGAAGAATGTTACAAAAGCTGCGTCAACAGAACCTAGCACCCCACGGAGGCCGACTAGAGAAGAAATCCTACGGGATAGTCCAGGAAGGGTCATCAGAAGGTAAGGAATATTGACACATTTACTGTACATTAATTTTTTCATACATATAATTGTCATGTCGTATTTATGTGCAGCAAGCTTGCGATGTTATTAGGAGAGGGCACATCTTCACAAACCGACACCACTAGTCCCGTGAGGATGCCTATCGCGACAGCACCAAAAAAAGATGACTCCAAAGAGAAAGCTACACATTGGATGAATTGTTTTAGTTGTGATGAGATGTAAACTCATGCTTTATTTCATATGACTTTGGATCTCGTTTGGAACTAAATTATAGTCTTCCGAGATGAACTTATTTATGTTAGAATCATGGTTTTATGAGATGAACTCGTTTGTGCTAAATTCATGGTTTTATCTGTTACGTGTAATTGTGTATGGATCATCTTTGATAATTTATATTACATATTAAACTGTACATGGCGGCCAGCCAGCCTAGGCGCCGGCCAGCCAGCCAAGGGCGCGGCCGGCCAGCCAGGCAGGCCAGGCGAGCGGCCAACAGCCCCATTCCACGTCAATTGAAGCCATGAGGGCAATACGGTCATATCATGGGCAAAATACATGTATTTTAGTTGAGAAAAGTGATTAAAAAGACTAAATGCCATGTATAACAAAGTGCCAACGTTTCGATGGTCGTTTTAGCGAAGTCGATGTTTAGAATCCTATAATAACGAAGCACATTATTTCGCGTCCGATAATTACAATTTACAGGGGTTGTTGTGTTGCGCCATAGGCCCACCTCCTCAATCCGCAAAGTCAAGCCTGCCCTACTCACGAACACAGCACCCTTCAACATTTACAGGGGTTGTTGTGTTGCGCAAGATATGATCATTCAATTAAAGTTGTTATAATCAAGTCAAATGAGATTGGTAACCTCGTAGGTGTCTTTGATTTGGGAAAAAACATGCCATTTATTCAGCTTCACCTTCACATGACATGACCACATATTATTTTGTATTTCTTTTTATTTTTTGTTGATATCAAAGCCAGTTTGTAACCTTGTCAACATTCAAAACGAGGGTTCTGAATGTATTACCACACAGATTCACATTGGTTCCGTTTACCTTTACAAGGCTTTGAAATTACTAAAACTATGGTCAGCTGATTTATTCTTCTCAGCCTGTGTGATGTGTTCAGCAGTTTGATGCAAAAAATTATGTTGAACTAAATTTTTGGATAACGCGAGGAGATATAAGAAAGGGTTGTGGCAACATTTTCTTACCATCTACTTGTTTTTCAAACTGCGAGCTAAATTTATGATTCAGTAAATCTTCTTTATTGCACACTTGTGACTAGCTCACTCTACAGATATAGGGAAATATTGAGGAGAGCAAGAACAAAGGAATTGGACATTAACATGTCTACAGTTGTTGCTCTTCTAGCATAGACGTGCTTCTTTAAAACTACTAAAATTTGTCACTTAGTCAGGAATAACTGTTCAATTCCAATTCAAAGATGCAATGCTGCCATTGATATTGCTCACTGGATTTGAATGATTCTCAAATACAAGAATTGTCTTTGTTTTTCTTCTTATTTGCAATAGACTTGCTGTAGAGTTTACTGGATCCTTGCGTCGCTGCCTCCGTGGGAGCAAGGGGAGACCACCGATGGAAGCACACCAACTAGTTATAGCCACGTGATTGGCACACCCTTCATGTTTATCTACTACTTAAAACTTGCTTCATATATTAAGTTTGAGCTACCCGATTTGATTAAGCAAAATATTTCTTCACAGCCTGCTAGATAGGGACTGGAGCTATTCCAGAATACATTCCAAACCTTAACTATCAGCCTGTGAAGATGTATCACCCCATTACTCACAGTTCAGCTAACAGAAATGAGAGGAGCCGCCTTTTTTGGTCACATTGTCAGAACAAGGCGAGGGTCTTTCTGTGATTGGAGTCTACTTTGCAACATGTGGATTGGTCACTGAGTGGTGAACAAATGAGATTGAGGCGGTAATGATAGTGAGCAGGAGGAGGACTGTGAGCACAATGGCGAGGCAGGCGGCATGGGGTGGAGAGACAGATCTCATTGCTATGACCATCATCAGATAGAGCCCGAGAAGTACAGTGGAGAAGAACAAGAACCCAGCTGCGGTGACTGGCCCTGCCATGTAGTAGTATCCCATGAACCCAGTGGCCAGGCCGCCACAAGTGGCAATGCCATTTGATATGTCGAATAAATGGTTCAAGTAATGATTCTCGATGTCGCCCTGTGTATCACCATCACTGGTGGTGAAGGAGGGCAGCACATACGTGTTTACTGAATGCTGAAACTTTGGTTGAAGGAAGGCAACAATAAGGATCAGGAACACCACGACGAGGATGGCGAAGGCGTAGCATCCGTTGAACGGGACAGTTAGAAGGCACAAGGCCACTTGTAGAAGGAGGCATGAGATGCAGACCAAGGCATTGCCCCAATTAGGCATATTTATGTAGAGTACTCCATCGATGATGAAGAAGACCACAATGTCAAGCACAAACAATATTTTGATGGTGATTGATGTTGATGAAGAAAGATTCTTGTACGCGGAAAACAACATGGCGCAAGCGAACAAAAGGGCCTTCAGAGTATAGTTGGACCAACTTTTCTTTCGCTGTTCGAGCTGAACAGCTGCGGTATCAATACCATTGCCATAGATGACCTGCATTTTTGTGGGAAAAAACCAATACCATCAAGTTTAGATATATGCTGAGAGTAATCAACAACTATGTAAAATTTTATTTAATCCATACTACCTCCATCCCATAAGAAATATCATATTCTCACTTTCCAAGAAGTCAAACATTTTTTTAACTTTAACCAAATATATATAAGAAAACATTAATATTTATGGTACATAATTAGTATTATTAGATAAATCATTTAATATATTTTTATAATAAATTTATTTGGGGATACAAATATTGCTAGTATTTTTCTATAAACCTAGTCAAAATTAAGAAAGTTGGACCGGTATGAATCCATAGCGACACCACTTTTTATTAGGCGGATGGAATAGTTTCATACTAGTCCGTCCGTCCCAAAATAAATCAACTTTTATAATCACCTTAAGTCAAATTATCTTAAGTTTGGTTAGCTTTATATTAAATGGTAACGACGATTGTGAAATTAACTAAATACATTATGAAAAATATATTTCACGATATATCTAGTGTTTGGTGTCATAAATATTGATATTTTTTCTATAAATTTAGTTAACCTGAAACTACTTTGACTTTGAACAATACTAAAAGTTGATCTAATGGGATGGAGGGATTAGTTATTAGCACTTAATATTCGTCAACTGCTAACCACTGGGGTATGCGTATGCTTTGGGAAAAAAACAATCTTTTTAGACAAGATTCGTGACTGTATTTTTTTGGTCTAATATAAAATCGCACAGGAGTGGCAAGGCTGGATCTGCAAGCCGTTTGGACACAAGCCCAGTGGACGTGGGGGTTGCAGGTGCAGGTGCAGGTGCTCTAGGCCCAAAGCGGATTTTCCATCCTACCTGAAAAAACAGGGGCTTCAGCGATTGCCAGGCCCAGCTACGTGACGACTCCTTGACTTCATCGATCTTGCTCGGCCGCTCGCTGCTTTGCAACTCCTGTTGGACCTGGGCCCAATAAAAAAGAAAACGAAACGAAAACAAAAAAAATAACTCATGTATGCTTTCGAAGGTCTAATTAATGGACTCGGCTATATAAAATTCTGACATTTACACGAGACTACATGCAAATTCTAGTTCGAATCTGTGGTCTTAGATAGGGTATTCGTGGAGATTTGGAATGAGTACGAGTAGTTGTACCTGATGTTCCCATCCGGCTGCCTTCATGGCTACTAGCTGGTAGCTTGCCTTCCTCTTGTTCTGGGGAAGAGATGAAGGAGAGCGGTGGTCTGTGAGGCTGTTAGCTACAGCGTTATCAATATTTATAGGCCCTGTTTGGTTCTCTATGCGTTTCCTATAATTCCTGTCGCATCGAATGTTTGGACACATGTATGGAGTATTAAATATAGACTAATTACGAAACTAATTGCACAACTTACAACTAATTTGCGAGATGAATCTTTTAAGCTTAATTAGTCCATGATTTGACAACGTGGTGCTACAGTAAACATATGCTAATGATAGATTAATTAGGCTTAAAAAATTCGTCTCGAAAATTCGTCTCCATCTATGTAATTGGTTTTGTAATTAATCTATATTTAATGCTCCTTATTAGTATCTAAACATTCGACATGACATAAATTTTAGAAGCGAGAGAACCAAACACCCGCATGTAGTCCAAACACCCGCATGTAGTCCAAACACTCGCATGTAGTCCAAGCACCCGCATGTAAATTTTAGAAGCGAGAGAAACAAACACCCGCATGTAGTCCAAGCACCCTCGCATGTAGTCAAGCACCCGCATGTAAATTTTAGAAGCGAGAGAACCAAACACCTGCATGTAGTCCAAGCACCCGCATGTAGTCCAATTTTAGAAGCGAGAGAAACAAACACCCGCATGTAGTCCAAGCACCCTCACATGTAGTCCAAGCACCCGCATGTAAATTTTAGAAGTGAGAGAACCAAACACCCGCATGTAGTCCGCATGTAGTCCAAGCACCCGCATGTAAATTTTAGAAGTGAGAGAACCAAACACCCGCATGTAGTCCAAGCACCCGCGCATGTAGTCCAAGCACCCGCATGTAAATTTTAGAAGCGAGAGAACCAAACACCCGCATGTAGTCCAAGCACCCGCATGTAAATTTTAGAAGCGAGAGAATCAAACACCCGCATGTAGTCCAAGCACCCGCGCATGTAGTCCAAACACCCGCATGTAAAATTTAGAAGCGAGAGAAACAAACACCCGCATGTAGTCCAAGCACCCGCGCATGTAGTCCAAGCGACCTGAAAACGCGTAAATAACGATCGATAATGGGTCGTTGTCACGAAGAACCATCAATGTGCGCGCCGACCATTGGCCCGTGCATAATCGCACGCCTGCAGAGTCCTTGTGCACCTACTACTACCTCCATTAAGGAAACGGAAGCGGAGTCCGCAACGCTCCGCACGGGCTCAGGTGCTACCCACCTTGCCGTTTATTTAATTCTTTCTCCGCCAAAAAAAAGAAATGCAATTTTAGAACAGTATCATGGTTAAGTATACCAAGTTTGATCAATTATAAATTAAAAAGTATAAAAATCTTTTATATCAGATGAACATCATTAGATTAATTATGAAATGTATTTTCATAATAAAATAATTTAGAGCCATAAATATGAATAATATTTACTAGAAACCTGGTCAAATGTGAAGTACTTTAACTGACATGTATACCATAGTTGTATTCTTTTCAGAGGTAGTAATTCAAAAATTATCACGTATGAGCTCACCAGTTTATAACTCCACAGGCACCTACAGGATCAGTTTAGTTTCCAAGCACGTACAGCTAGCACCTTGCCGTTTATTTAATTAATTAAAAAAATCACGTACGAACTCACCAATTTAATTCCAAAAGCACGTATAGGATGAGTTTAGTTTCCAAGCACGTACAGGACGGACTATGATGAGAAGCATGCGAGGTTTGGGAACACGTTATGCCATGAGTCAGCATCACCGCTGAGGTGAACGAGTTGGCTGAGGCAACTGCAAGCGCTGTTTAACTATTGGTGCTTGCCGCGATCAAATTTGTCGCCGTAGACACGTATAAAAATTCATGACCTGGTGTAACACACGACCATTTATCTAGTACAGTAAAATGTACCTCCTCCGTCCACAACTATAGGAATAAAATATAGATAATGGTATTTATCTTGTATTAATATTTTGTATATAAGTTTAGTTAAAATTTGAAATCATTTAACTCCTTAAAAAGTGAGAATTGCGTCTTTTAATTAAAAGAGCGAGTAAATGCTTCACCATCACCTCCATGAGTTTCGATGAATTTTTCAAAATTTATGAACGTCTTTTGAACCAGTAAAATATTCGAGCTTTAAATGAGCCTCAATAGAAATTCAAAAAGCGTAGCACAGATGTGTTTTTATGTAGCATCTCCCAAACCATGTGCGTTCACAAGTTACTCTTCTTTTACACTACTAACTACTAGTAGCAATGCAACGTGCGACTCGCACATGTTTGTGATTGTGAGTTGTCTCCTATTATATTAGTCTCACCATAAATTATCATTTTTATTTGTGATTGTGAGCTGTCTCCTATTATATTAGTCTCACCATAAATTATCATTTTTACCATCTACTAGTCTATGGCTAGACTTTGACAAATCCAAATTCCAAAATAACATAAATATTTGATCACATGTATCACTACTGGAGCTAACTTCACTGAATAACAAACAAATTACAATTTAAACATGATTCATTAATTTATTACATTATTATATTAAACAACCTATATATTGATATGACCATGCCATCAACCAACATGTTACAACCCTCTAATTCATGCTACACCAACTCGAGTATCACCTACATCTACACAAGCCCAAGTCTTTCATGGACCAATTACACGTAATCGAGCAAAGAAACTACAACAAGAGATGAAATTCATTTTAATATTAATGAGAATTATATTATGCCTAAGTCATGCATGTTGCTATTACTCAGGTTCACCAAGGAGGATGATAAGAACACACATAGAGTTGATGAAAGCCCTAACTTGGTTTTGGATAATTGATGAAACCTAAGTGAACTAATCCTTTGCTCTAAGTGATATGAGATAGGTTGGTTCACACCAAGTGACGGAGCTAGTTGGCACTCAAGGATGGAGATGGCCAAAAGATGGTGATCAAGTTCTCCACATTTGGAAAAGAAGAAAGAGAAAAACAAAAATGGGCTCAAAGCAAAGGTATAAGAAATATGATCATTTTTGTTTGGTGATCAAGACACTATAGAGAGTGTGATCACATTTAGGATAGATAGTCGTACTATTAAGAGGGGTAATCCCAAAGCAAATACGGTTATCCATGTGCCACTAGGTGAATTGACTCCATGCATTTGCATTAGGACCTAGTAGTGAGTGCTAATATCCCTTGAGAACTTGTTTGGAAAATGCTAACCCACGTGCACAAGTATTGGAAACTTGGTGGAGTTAACACATTTGCACAAGGGATGAAGTTGAGAAGAGATAGAAGTACTCTAGCTGCATCGGACGCTAAAGCCGAGAGCATCGAACTCTAAGTGCCTGCATATGATGGCTAACCCTAGCACAGCAGAAGCCACAGTGTTGCATCGGACGATAAAATGTGAGACATCGGACGCAACAGTGGTATTGTTCATCTACTGACTGAGCGAGTCAAAAGGCATTGGACGCTGATTAGGGTCCGATGGACCTCCATCGGACGCGTTCGATGTGATCTGGAGCTCTCTGGATGCTCTCTATGTTGCATCGGATGTTGGTGGGCGTTGCGTCCGATGTGACATCAGACGCTGAGGCTACGAGCGCACATGAGAGAGCTGTTGGGCGCCAACGGCTACATTCAAATGGCTAGTACACGTGTCCATGGGCGATACACCAGTGTCCGATGCCCCTACAGCAGCTAGGGTAAGTTGGCCAACGACTCTTTAAGCCATAGGGCTCTATAAATAGGTCTTGGCTAGGTGTGGCTCATCCTCTTGGCTCTCTAACTGATTGATACACCTTGTGAGCATACTCCCACTCATCTAGTTCATTTGTTGATCATTTGTGAGATTGGGAGAGATCCTAGTTGCATTTGCTTAGAGTTTGAGCATCTTGTGGCACTAGAGATTGTGTGAGCTGTGGGTTCGCTTGTTACTCTTGGTGGTTGCCACCAACTAGACAGCTTGGAGCAGCGGGATCGTTGAGTGGAGGGTGGTGATTGTCTCCAGCTTCGATCATTGTGATTGTGAGGGGTTCTTGAGGTTATTCCCCGGCGAAGCGTCAAAAGCTACTCTAGTAAATTGCTAGTGGCATTGAGTGTCCTCATCTTGTGTAGGTTCTTACGACACCCTTGTGTAGGGTTAGGCCTGTAATGCCTATTAGCGCACAAACCACCAAGTGAATCGGCCAGCAAGCAAGTGAACCTCGGGAGAAAAATCATTAGGTCAATTGGCTCTCTTGGTATTCGTATTGATTGATACATCGCTTGTCCGGCTTGGTATAACACTTCCTATCACTTGCATTATTTTCATAGTCTTACTTGTGTAATGGTAGCGATAGCTAGTTTAGCTAAAAGTAATTAGTGTCGGGGACCAATACTAGGGTACCCGAAGAGAAGGAGCTAATGACCATCAACATTGATTCATCCGAGCAGTCAAGAGCGCGACTACAGCTCCAACAGACCCTCAGGCGCGTGAACTCCGCCTTGCCCGACCTCTGGGGGAGGGCTTCGCCTCGCTCGACCCTGAGGCCATGGGCTCTGCCTTGCCCAACCGCAAGGTCGTGGGCTCCGCCTCGCCCAACCTCTAGGGGCGGGCTCCGCCTCGCCCAACATCGGGGCCGCGGGCTCTGCCTCGCCCAACCCCGAGGCCATGGGCTCTGCCTTGCCCAACCTTTGGGGGTAGGGTCCGCCTTGCCCGACCCCTCGGGTGCGGGCTTCGTCTCGCCCGATGGGGTCCCATACTACTGCCAACCACTCTAGGTCTAAGCGTATGGGTCTGGGTCAAAACTCTGACACCAAGGAAGAGACCGGCACGCCCCAATGTAACCCGCGGCCACGATGGGCCATACCTGAGGATTCACTTCAAGAATAGCGTCGGGCGTAATGGTACTGTTCTGCCTAACCCTTGTACGAACACTGACAGGCGCGTCGGATCACCACGACGTCTGCCAGGACGGAGTGGAGCGCCATGACCGGCAGACGATGTCTGCGCATG